AGGTGGCTATAGCTTGGCTAGTAGTGCTAATGAGACTGAAATAAGCAATAGGTCCCTAAGGATTCCCACATAATTGGGTCAGCACTTATTGAGAATTTTTATAAACAAAAAGTTAAAAGGGATTTGTGAATCTAGAATCTTGGAGAAAAATCTATTAATCGTTATTGTTTCTGTGTTTATGCTTAAGAAGGAACATATTTCTTTTCACTTGAAAAGTATACAATTACTAAAAGTTAATTCTAATAACACTTTTTACTAATATAAAATTAAGATCAGCTCCCTTCTGAATTTGACAGATTTGGAGAATTTTTTGTATGTTTTTAAATCCCAAAGTTGAAGGACTCCAGTGACAGTTTTGAGTTATTTAAAATATGAAGAGTTTCAACAAACCTCATTGTTCCAATTTTCCTTTATTTTATAGGGTGAAAGAGCAAAATTATTCTGAATTTTGGAAAGGTTAAAAAATCATTTAAAAAGGCAGGATATAAATCATAACTAAAGTCAGATAATTTCAGGCAATGTTATAAATGCATTGTATATAAAAGAATTAGTATATAACTATGCTAATTAAAAATAAATTAAGAAAAGTAATCATAAAATTTCTTAAAAGCTGATTTATGAGCATTAAAAAAAGCACCAAAATTTAACAGAATAATTAAATCACAAGAAAGGTCTACAATCTAAGCATTAAATATACCAGTCATTTTCTATAAAAATGACTCATTTAATGTTTTTCCTGTTTTACATCATTTTTGTAATAATTTAGAGTAAAGGACATGTATTTAGGCATGCAGAGGCAAATATAAAAATAAGTAATATTTAAAACTTTTACCTATAGCTTTTTAAAAAGCTAACTTACCAGTATATAAATAATACATACATACAATGGAGACAATGAATCCAAGCTGGAAAACACTCTTCAGGATATTATCCAGGAGAATTTCCCCAACCTAGCAAGGCAGGCCAACATTCAAGTCCAGGAAATACAGAGAGCACCACAAAGATATTCCTCAAGAAGAGCAACCCCAAGGCATATAATTGCCACATTCACCAGGGTTGAAATGAAGGAAAAAATGCTAAGGGCAGCAAGAGAGAAAGGTCAGGTCACTCACAAAGGGAAGCCTATCATTCTCACAGCAGATCTCAACAGAAATCCTACAAGCCAGAAGAGAGTGGGGGCCAATATTCAATATCCTTAAAGAAAAGAACATTCAACCTAGAATTCCTAGAATTTCATATCCAGCCAAACTAAGCTTTACAAGCAAAGAAGAAATAAAATCCTTTATGAACAAGTGATTGCTAAGAAATTTTGTCACCACCAGGCCTGCCTTAACAAGAGCTCCTGAAAAAGCACTAAACATAGAAAGGAACAACCAGTACCAGCCACTCCAAAAATGTACCAAATGGTAAAGACCATCGACACAATGAAGAAACTGCATCAACAGGAAAAACAACCAGCTAGCATCAAAATGGCAGGATCAAATTCATACATAACAATATTAACCTGAAATGTAGATGGGTTAAATGCCCCAATTAAAAGACACATACTGGCAAATTGGATAAAAAGTCAAAACCCATCGGTGTGCTGTATCCAGAAAACCCATCTCATGTGCAAAGACACACATAGGCTCAAAATACAGGGATGGAGAAAGATTTACCAAGCAAATAGAGAGCAAAAAAAAGAGCAGGAGTTGCAGTCCTAGTCTCTGATAAAATAGACTTTAAACCAACAAAGATCAAAAGAGGCAAAGAAGGGCATTACATGATGGTAAAAGGGTCAATGCAACAAGAAGAGTTAATGATCCTAAATATAAATCCACTCAATACAGGAGCACCCAGATACATGAAGCAAGTTCTTAATGACCCACAAAGACTTAGACCCCCATGCAATAATAGTAGGAGACTTTAACACTCCACTGTCACTATTAGACAAATCAACGAGACAGAAAATTAACAAGGATATCCAGGACTTGAACTCAGATTTGGACCAAGCAAATCTAATAAACATCTACAGAACTCTCCACCCCAAATCCACAGAATATACATTCTTCTCAGCACCATATTGTACCTACTCTAAAATTGACCACATAATTGGAAGTAAATCACTCCTCAGCAAATGCAAAAGAATGGAAATCATAACAAACAGTCTCTCAGTCCACAGTGCAATCAAATTAGAACTCAGTGATTAAGAAACTAACTCAGAACCACACAACTGACTCTTGAATGTTGACTGTATAAACAATGAAATGAAGGCAGAAATAAAGATGTTCTTTGAAACCAATGAAAATGAATACACAACACACCAGAATCTCTGGGACACATTTAAAGCAAGGTCTAGAGGGAAATTTAGAGCAATAAATGCCCACATGAGAAGCAAGGAAAGATCTAAAATCAACACCCTATCATCAAAATTGAAACAGCTAGAGGAGCAAGATAAAAAAAAAAAAAAAAAAGCTAGCAGAAGACAAGAAATAACTAAGATCAGAGCAGAACTGAAGGAGATAGAGATACAAATAATCCTTCAAAACATCAATAAATCCAGGAGCTGGTTTTTTGAAAAGATGAATGAAATAGACTGCTAGCCAGATGAATAAAAAAGAAAAGAAAGATCAAATAGATGCAATAAAAAATGATAAAGGGGATATCACCACCGATTCCACAGAAATATAAACTACCATCAGAGATTACTACAAACAACTCTATGCACATAAACCAGTAAACCTGGAAGAAATGGATAAATTCCTGGACACTTGTACCTTCCCAAGCCTAAACCAGTCAGAAGTTGAAACCCTGAATAGACCAATAACCAGGGCTGAAGTTGAGATAGCAATTAATAGCCTATCAACCAAAAAAAGCCCAGGTCCAGATGGGTTCACAGCTGAATTCCACCAGATGTACAAAGAGGAGCTGGTACCACTCCTTCTGAAACTATTCCAAACAATACAAAAAGAGGGAATCGCTCCCAAATCATTTTATGAGACCAATATCATCCTGATACCAAAATATGGCAGAGACTCAACCAAAAAAAAAAAACTTCAGGCCAATATTCATGATGAACATAGATGTAAAAGACTTCAATAAAATAGTGGCAAAAAAAGACTTCAATAAAATAGTGGCAAACTGACTGCAGCAGCACATCAAACAGCTAATCCATCATGATCAAGTAGGATTCATCCCAGGGATGCAAGGCTGGTTCAACATATGCAAGTCTATAAACGTAATTCACCACGTAAACAGAACCAAAGACAAAAACCACATGATTATCTTAGTAGATGCAGAGAAGGCCTTCAACAAAATTCAACAGCCATTTATGTTAAAAACTCTCAATAAACTAGGTATCAATGGAACATATCTCAAAATTATAAAAGCTATTTATGACAAACCCACAGCTTATCTCATATTGAATGGGCAAAAACTGAAAGCATTCCCTTTGAAATCTGGCATTAGACAAGGATGCCCTCTCTCACCACTCCTATTCAATATAGTACTGGAAGTTCTAGCCAGAGCAATCAGGCAAGAAAAACAAATAAAGGATATTCAATTAGGAAAGGAGGAGGTCAAGTTGTCTATTTGCAGACGACATGATTGTATATTTAGAAGACCCCATCGTTTCAGCCCAAAATCTCCTGCAACTGATAAGCAACTTCAGCAAAGTTTTACGATACAAAATCAATGTGCAGAAATCACAAGCATTCCTATATACCAATAGCAGACTTAAAGAGAGCCAAATCAAGAGAGAACTCCCATTTACAATTGCTACAAACAGAATAAAATACAACTAACAGGATGTAAAGGACTTCTTCAAGGAGAACTACAAACCACTGCTCAAGGAAATAAGAGAAGATACAGATGGAAGAATATACCATGCTCATGGTTAGGAAGAATCAATATTGTGAAAATGGCCATACTGCCCAAAGTAATTTATAGAGTCAATGCTATCCCCATCAAGCTACCAATGACCCTCTTCACAGAACTGGAAAAAACCACCTTAAACTTCATATGGAACCAAAAGAGAGCCCTCATAGCCAGACAATTCTAAGCAAAAAGAACAAAGCTGGAGGCGTCATGCTACCTGACTTCAATGATGAGCAATGCCATTTATCTTCATTGGGCTCTGCTGTCTTCAGAGATTCTCCATTTTACATTCACTTTCCAATATTTCAGAGTCACAGCATCTGTTTCTTCTAGGGGTTAAGAGTGGCCAGCAAAATACCTTCTCGTGAAGGTGTTTTGTACACCTTCCTGGGGGCCAGATAAATTCTGCCAAGACACCAGCCATGATTTTGAGGCTTCTCTCCCAAGCAGGCTCTTCTGCCTCTCTGCAAGAATGTGCAAACTACAGCATGTTTGTGGCAGCCTCACATATTGATCCTAGAGCACTTATGTCCTCCTCACTGTCATCTTCAAAATGACCTTGCTGTGAAGCTTTGTTACCTCTGATAGGATGCATTTCTCATCCATATAATGATTCAGAAAATGCAAGCAGTGTATTCATCACAGTCATCTGGACTTCCAGACTGACAGGACACACAGGAAAGGACTGACAGGTAGACCAAAGATGCTGGGTAGAGAAGCTGGTGCCAGGATAAATTTTTGAAATTGAGTAGAGGATGTAAAACCCTTGCAGCCAGGAACTGAGAAAGCTGTGGTTGGGACATGGGGAGAGGGAAGCTGTAGACTATAGACTGCAATCAGAGCCTGAGACTCAGGGCAGGTTGCAGGTGAGAGGGTGGAGAGAATTTCCTTGGAAAAGGACCATAGGAAATAAGTCTCCATGAAAGGGCCCTCGAGCAGAAGCCAGAACACAATCACCATGTCTTCACCCCATCCCTTCATGCCCAGCCTCCCCCTGCCAGGCTCACTCCCTGGCAACCTGGCTTTTATAAATCCCCTCTGCCTGGCCAGTCACCAGCTCCACTCCAGGTGTGTCACAATCTGACCCTTGTGACCTCTTGCTCCCCCACCCCCACTTGTGATTACATCACCTGAAGCTCATTTCAAGTGGCCTCTGATCCAGAGACACTAACCCAGCAACAGCCCTTGACTCCCTCCACCCTTGCTTCCCTCTCACCCATCTCACCTCTATCTGTTCAGTTGAGCCAGAGGTCCCACCTTCTTGGGAGAAATTAATTGAGGCACATTTCCAGGCCAGAGGGGTGAGCTGGGTCTGAGGAGCCAAGCAGAAAGTCTTCTCAAAATCACTATGTGGGGAAGGATCAGAGACTTGCTGCTGCCCTTGCTGTTCTGACTCTGCCCCAGCTTTTGGCCCCACCCCCTTAAAGAACCTTTAGAGGTTTCCATGGTGACAGTAAACAAGCCTCCACTGCCTTGGCCATCTCTGCTGTGTTTGCCCTACTCCTGATCTTAAAGGTGTGCAGCTGTGATGAGCAGGAGCAGGGAGGAGCTCCCAGGTGAGTAAAACGACTTGGCTTTGGGGAAGACCAGCTTGAGGGTGTTGATATGGATGGAAGAGGCTCAGAGATTTGGGATCTGAACTTGGGGATCAAGGGAGCAGTTCTTTCTTTATAGAAATTTCCTATTTAAAATATTTTTTATTTTTTAAATAAAAATAAAAAACAGCCTTATAGAAAAAAGTTCAGTACTATAGCCCAGGCTCTCAAAAATGATCAGTATGAGTTAAGGTTTCTATGTTGGTTACTTTTCTTATTTCAATAAAGTAAAATAAAATATCTGACTCACTAGAGGAAATACACAAACTGTCTACTCGAAGCAGAAAGAGAATTAACTAAAGAAACCCAGCATAGCCATCGCGTGTCTTAAGAAATACAGCAGTACTTACCTTAGCCTCCTTCTGTGGGCCCCACCCCTTCTACCAAAGAACCACCTCCTGGGTAGACACTCCTAAAGTTTATGTTCATGAATCAACTGCCTTTCTTTGTAGCTTGGCTTAAACTTTCTGTACTCTTAAACAATATATTGAATATTTTTGCATGTCCATAAATTGTAAATATGGCTTTACACTATATTATTCTGTAGATCTTGTTTTTGTGGTGCTACATTTTGCTCCCACTGACCCACCTCCTGAATGTGTGTCATTTTCACCTGTTTCTCTCCCTTTCTACTCTGCTTCTAGGCATCGTCATCACTTCCCCGCACTGTCTAAATCCTGCTCAGCAGTCTGTGAAACTGTGGTGCCGAAGACATATGTAAGGGTTCTAACTCCACTCAAGCAATCTGCTCACCTCAAAAGGGAAAACATTGGCTCGCTCCTGTTTTAACAGATGACACATAGGTCACAATTCAATCTGTGCTCTCCTTGGACTACTTCTTACATGAACATCAAACATATACCCATTTCCCAAACACTAATGTAGCTTGTATATTTGGAGTAAAAATTAGAAATATACATGCAGAGATTTTAAATATACAACTTTTTTTATTACCATTTTCAGTCTCCCTACTTGTTGGTCTATTCAGGGTATTTAATTCTTCCTCCTCTTCTTCTTGAGCTCCTCCCTGCTTCTACTCATCACAGCTGCACACCTTTAAGATCAGGAATAGGGTAAACACAACAGAGATGGCCAAGGCAGTGGACGCTTGTTTACTGTCACCATGGAAACCTCTAAAGGTTCTTCTTATATCATTCCAGGAAGTTATCTACCTCCTCTAGGTTTTCCAGTTTATGTGCATAAAGGTGTTCATTGTAGCCTTGAATGACCTATTGTATTTCTGTGGTGTCAGTTGTAATATCTCCCATTTCATTTCTGATTGAGTTTATTTGAATTTCCTCTCTTCTTTTCTTGGTTAATTTCGTTAATGTCTATCAATTTTATTTATTGTTTCAAGAACCAGCTTTTTGTTTTATCTTTTGTATTGTTTTTTGTTGTTGTTTCCATTTCATTTAGTTCTGCTCTCTTTTTTATTTGCTTTCTCTTGCTGGGTTTGAGTTTGGTTTGTTCTTGTTTCTCCAGTTCTTTGAACTGTGAACTTTGTTTTTGCTCTTTCAGACTTCTTAATATAGGCATTTAGAGCTCTGAACTTTTCTCCTAGCACTGCCTTTACTGTATCCCAGAGGTTCTGATAGGATGTGTCACTACTTACATTCAGTATGAAAAATATTTTAATTTCCATCTTGATTTCATAGTTGACCAATGATCATTTAGGAGCAGGTTATTTAATTTCCATGTATTTGAAGGTTCTTTATGGACTGGATTTCCAGTTTTATTCCACTGTGGGCTGTAAGAATGCTTGATATAATTTCAATTCTCTTAAATTTACTGAGGCTCATTTTGTGGCTTATCATATGCTCTATCTTGGAGAAAGTTCCATACGCTGATGAATAGAATATATATTCTGCAGTTGCTGGATAGAATGTTCTGTAAATATCTGTTAAGTTAATTTGTTCTAGGGTGTAATTTAAATCCATTGTTTCTTTGTCAAATTTCTGTCTTGATGACCTGTCTGGTGCCGTCAGCGGAGTATTGAAGTCCTCCACTATTATTGTGTCACTGTCTATTTCATTTCTTAGGTCTCGTAGTAGCTATTTTATTAATTTATTCACCAATGTTAGGTGAATAAATATTTAGAATTGTGATATTTTCCTTTTGAACAAAGCCTGATATCATTATATAATGTCTCTCTTTGTCTTTCTTAACCTGCTGTTGCTTTAAAGTTTCCTTTGTCTGATATAAGAATTGCTACTCCTGCTCACTCTTGGTCACCATTTACATGGAATGTCTTTTTCCACCACTTTACCTTAAGGTCAGGTGAGTCTCTTGAAGGCAGCAGATAGTTGGTGATTTCTTATCCATTCTGTCATTCTGTATCTTTTAGGTGAAGCATTTAGGCCATCTACATTAAATATTAGTATTGAGATGTGAGTTACTATTCCATTCATAGTGCTGTTTCTTGTATGTATGTGTAATTTCCATCAAAATACCAACATCATCCTTCACAGAACTATAAAATCAATTCTACAATTTATATGGAATCAAAAAAGCCAAGGCAAGACTAACCAAAAAGAACAAATCTGGAGGCATCACATTAACTGATCTCAAACTATACTATAAAGCCATAGTCACCAAAACTGCATGGTACTGGTATACAAGTAGACACATAGATCAATGGAACAGAATAGAAACCCCAGAAATAAACCCAGTACTTACAGCCAACTAATTGTTGACAAAGCAAAGACATAAAGTGGGGAAAGGACACCCTATTCAACAAGTGGTCCTTGAATAATTGACAAGTCACATGTAGAAGAATCAAACTAGATCATTGTCACTTACCTTATACAAAAATCGTCTCAAGATGGATCAAGGACTTAAATTTAAAACCTGAAACTATAAAAATTCTAGCAGATAACATCAGAAATACTCTTCTAGACATTGGCTAGGCAAAGATTTCATGACCATGAACCAAAAAGCAAATGCAATAAAAACAAAAATAAGCATCTGGGACTTTATTAAACTAAAGGGCTTTTGTACAACAAAAGGTACAGTCAGCAGAGTAAACAGAAAACTGACAGAGTGGGAGAAAATCTTCACAATCAATACAGCTGATGAAAAACTAATATCCAGAATCTGCAATGAACTCAAACAAGTTAGCAATAAACAAACAATCCCATCAAAAAGTGGGACAAGAACATGAATAGACAATTATCAAAAGAAGACATACAAATGACTAACAAACATATGAAAAATGATCAACATCACTAATGATCAGGGAAATGCAAATCAAAACCACAATGTGATACCACTTCACTCCTGCAAGAATGACCATCATGAAAAAATAAAAAAATAATAGATGTTGGCATGGATGCTATGAAAAGGGAACACTTTTACACTGCTGGTGGGAATGTAAACCAGTACAACCATTATGAAAAACAGGGTGGAGATTTCGTAAGGAACTAAAAGTACAACTATCATTTGATATCCAGAAGAAATGAAGTCATTATACAAAAAAGATGCTTGAGCATGTTTACAGCAGCACAATTTGCAACTGTAAAAACGTGGAACCAACCAAAATGTCCATCAATCAACGAGTGAATAAACTGTGGTATATATACACATACAATGGAATACTACTCAGTCATAAAAAGAAAGGAATTAATGGTATTTGCAGCAACCTGGAAGAGATTGGAGGCTATCATTCTCAGCAAAGTAACTCAGGAATGGTAAACCAAGCATTGCACGCTGTCACTCATAAGTAACTGAGGAATGGTAAACCAAGCATTGCACGCTGTCACTCATAAGTAACCCAGGAATGGTAAACCAAGCATTGCACGCTGTCACTCATAAGTAACTGAGGAATGGTAAACCAAGCATTGCATGCTGTCACTCATAAGTAACTCAGGAATGGTAAACCAAGCATTGTACGCTGTCACTCATATAAGTAACTGAGGAATGGTAAACCAAGCATTGCACGCTGTCACTCATAAGTAACTGAGGAATGGTAAACCAAGTATTGCACGCTGTCACTCATAAGTAACTGAGGAATGGTAAACCAAGCATTGCACGCTGTCACTCATAAGTAACTGAGGAATGGTAAACCAAGCATTGCACGCTGTCACTCATAAGTGGGAGCTAAGCTATGAGAATACAAATGCATGAGAATGACATGATGGACTTCAGGAAGTCAAGGGGAAATGGTGGGAAGGGGTGCTAACTGCGTGCACTGTATACGGCTCATGTGATAAGTGCCTCAAAATCTCAGAAATCACCAATAAAAAAACTTACCCATGCAACCAAATATTACCTGTTCCCCACCTACTTTAAAATTTCTTTAAATAATAAAACTGTCTCCTCTTTAATAACTCATGTTTCCATTAAAACAATATCTGGAAGCCACATAAAGGAAGTAAGCATAGGCCACTTGGAAGAAGTTCCAAAAGGGAGAGCTGACCCCAGCTTCGTACACTGGCAGCACAAGGAGCCCTCAGTAAGTGTTTCCCTTCCTTATGACGTGCTAAATGGTTAAGGCTTTGAGTCAGACAACTTCAAGCCTGGTGATCTCTGTCAACTTCATGGCTCTGTCCAGAGGATCAAATGAGAAAAGCAACAACCACCTGGAGCATGTTTAAGAGTCATGCAAGTAGTGTTTTCCCTCTCTCTTTAGGCCTTGGTGATTGTCTTTACATTTACTCTAGCACTTATCATGATCTGTTGTTTATTCAAGTTAGTTATGATGATGCTTCTAACGCTAAGTGTGTTCAGGACTATTTTCAAAATTTCCAGTCCTTTTCAAGTAAATACTTTTGTAAAAGAAAATTTTTTTTTAAATTACAAGAAAACAGAAAATTATACACATTAGAAGTCAAAAATGTTTACTGATAAATTTAGCAAATGTAAAACAAAACTTAAATGCATATAATCAGAACAAATATATAGATGAAAAGTAATTTCAGAAACTATACTTGGTGTTTGTTGAATGTATACATTGGGGAATGAGTGTGGGAAAGAAAAACTCAAGCTGTGTTTTTTCTCTCTTCTCTCTACAACAATCAACACAGAAGACTTCTGTGACCAAATCTGTGCAGGTTTCTCTCCATACCCCGAGCAAACCATTGATTCTGCAGTGAAAACCACCTGGGTGTTCTCCCATTCAATTTAGTTCTGACACTATCTACCAGGAGAAAGCCTCAGAAACCACAGGTTGAGGGCTCAGTTTCACAAGAACACCCGCTTCTAACCAGCTGAAACTCCACACCTCCAGAGCTTCTGACTGACTGGCTTCAAGTTGTGATTCTCACACAAACCTCTATTTGAGTTTGACTAATTTGTTAGAGCAGTTCACAGAACACAAGGAAACACTTATCTTGATCAATTTATAATAAAGGATGTTTTAAAAGATATGTTTTATGAAACATATGAAAAGTCAGATAAAAAATTATATGTGTGTGTGTGTGTGTGTGTGTGTGTGTGTGTGTGTGTGTATAGCGTGAAGCCTGGAAGAGCACAGGAGCTCCTATCCACATGGATTTGGGGTGTGCCACCCTCCTGGCACATGGACAAGTTTTCCTTCACCTTCCTGTCAGCCTCCACATGTTCAGCTCTCCAGAAGTTCTACACACCCTGTCCTCTTAGGCATTTTATGAGAACTCCATTGGATAGGCATGAATGACAAATGTATAGAAATGTGACAAATGTATAGAAATCTCTAACATCTACTGTAATGCTGATAGACCGAGTGGGGAAACCCAGCAAGGCTGGTCTATTAAGATTCTTTTTGGCATCTCTGTGCAGCATTCCTTCCTCCAGGGTATGGCAGGACCCCTTCTGAAAGGAGGATCTTATGGCCCATAATCAGAGAGGTGGGAGAAGATTAGAGAGGACAGAGGAAGGTCAGAAAGAGAGAATATATCTTCTGAGGTCTGCTCCTGAAACTTAAAACATTCCAACATTACAACAGAAGACTATGAAAGTTTTGAGCCAACAACTATGAATAAAAAAGTATATATATGTATATACATATATACGTATGTCTCACAAGCGATTAATAGAGAAAATTGCTATTGTGACTTTTTGTCCTTCAATAACTATATTTAAAATAAAATTTTGACTGAAATAGCAATTTTCTGAACCATTTAAGCAAGCTCATGACAATAATTTTTTAGCCTTAATCCAAAATAAAACAGCAACGTTTTCAAAATGTATCTTCAATCCTTCAGCAATAATCAGTTATATAATTTTCCTGTACAACTATAATTAAAATTAAATGCAATTAAAAAAAATTTTGGTAATACTATACATATTTATGGAACAAGTGTGATATTTTATTACATGCATAGAATATGTGATGGTCCAGTCAGGATATTTAGGGTAACTATTACCTTGAGTATTTGTGATATTCTGTGTTTATCATTTGAAATCTTCTCTTCTATTTTGAAATACACGACACATTGTTAACTAAAATCTTTCTACTCTGCTACTGAACATAGAACTTATTCCTTTTATCTAACTGTATGTTTGTGTCCATTAACTATCCTCTGTTCATCTCCCTGCACTGTTGCCACACACACTCTTCTCAGCCTCTGGTATCAATCAATCCATTCTCTACTTCCATGAGATTAATGTTTTCAGCTTCCATGTAAATGTGATGACATGCAATATTTGTCTTTCTATGCCTGGCTTATTTCACTTAACATAATGACCTCCAGTTCCATTCATCCTGCTGCAAATGACATGATTTATGTTTTTATGACTGAATAATATCCCTTTTGTATAGACACTACATTTTCTTTATCCATTGGTTTATTGATGAACACTTAGGCTATCTTTGCTATTGTGAATAGTGCTGCAATAAACGTGAGGGTGCAGATATCTTATTGAAATATTGATTTTATTTCCTTTAGATAAGTACCCAGTAGTGCAATTTCTGCATAATGTTGTAATTCTTTTAGTTTTTACTAATTTATATTCCCAACAATAGTGTATAAAAGTTCTCTTTTCTCTACATCATCAACAGCATCTGATATTTTTTTGTCTTTTTAATAATAGTCATTCTAACTGAGGTAAGATTATATTTAAATTGTGTTTTAGAGGCTGGGAGCGGTGGCTCAAGCCTGTAATCCCAGCACTTTGGGAGGCCGAGGCGGGTGGATCACGAGGTCAAGAGATCGAGACCATCCTGTTCAACATGGTGAAACCCCGTCTCTACTAAAAATACAAAAAATTAGCTGGGCCTGGTGGCGCGTGCCTGTAATCCCAGCTACTCAGGAGGCTGAGGCAGGAGAATTGCTTGAACCCAGGAGGCAGAGGTTGCGGTGAGCCGAGATCACGCCATTGCACTCCAGCCTGGGTAACAAGAGCGAAACTCCATCTCAAAAAAAAAAAAAAATTATATTTTAATGAAAGGAATGAGATCTGGATACACGAATATTAGTCATGGAGCTTCCTTTGACAGAAAAACATCAAAATGTTATCTAAATTTGTAAGGTTTTTTATGATAACTTTTGGCAGATGTGCAATTTTTGCACACCAACTACTTTAATAATTGTCGTCAAGTCATGGAACTTTCTGCAGAAACAGTCTTCTTCCAAGCTTCTAACTTGAGATTTTGCTTTTCAACCTTATCAGCCACGGAAAAACATGTTGGATTTTTTCTTTGCAAAGCAATATTAAGATAATTTAAATGACTAAAGTATTAGACAAGTGAGAAAGACTGGTTGTCCTATATTCCATATTAGGTCAGTATCAAATTGGTTGCTTAACTTGGAAACACTGAGTTTATTCCATAGTTCAACTGTTCTCCACCAAACCTTTCCCCTCAATGACAATGCATCTCCACATACTTTAACGGTTGTTTTTAACCAGCTTTCACATTATTGCCTACAAAAAAATGGAATGAAAATTACTACCTTTATGAGATGCATGTTTTACTATTTCTGTAATCACAATGTTTAGTTCAACTAGAATTTTGCTTTTATATAAATAACAAGAATTTCTCAATGAAGAAAACATTACATTGATTTATAACCTATCAAAAGCTTCTAAATCTGGGTACTTATTCCAGAACATGGCCCTACTGTGCTCAGCAATTACATAGCTCCTTCCATTTGTAACTCACCACATGAGTTTGACATCTGTCCTGCTCTGTATCCCATTCAATAAAGCAAGTCCATTTGCTGTGGCACAGTCAAATTGCACTAAAAGTTTTGAAACACTTGCTCTTAATCGTTGTATGAATCCTATCCCAGGCCAGTAGTCAAATATTCACCACATAGCAGTGGTTCCCAGACCACATCTTGAATTTCATGCATGTGACTATTGTTTTCTCCTCATCAACATATGGGGAATTCCTAGAAGTGATATTTAATTTATTTACAGTTTGTGAAATCATACTATGGTACACTACACTGCATTTAGATTGCATGCAACAAATGTCTATTAGAATTAGAAATATTTAGTAGAATTAAGTGATGCAGCCATGTCATTAGTTACATATTAAGAAGTGATCTTCCACACCCTAGAAGTCTTTTCACATAGTCGTCTTTCTTTCTTTGGGTTCAAATCAAGATAAAAGTTTGTGTGTGTGTATATGTGTGTGTGTGTGTTAAAATATTATTTTGAGCATTTCTCTTTTGTGAAACTCAGCAGCAGAGGCCTGAGTTCATTAAAGGTTCCAATCAAAAAAAGATATACTCATTGATCCCTCAAAGTTTACTCCATTGTGTTGTATACTTTTTTCCAATTTCTCACTCCCAATTTTCTTGACATCCCTGGAAGTCATATGTTGTGTGTCTTTTATTTTCTAAGAGTTTTTACATATATGAAGTATTATAATGTGAGCTCATGTTTTAATTTTACTTAATATTACTGTGTTACAACTAATTTTATTTCTTGTTTTTTCAGTTTTACTGTTCCTCTAGAGTACTCCAAGAGCATGGGCCTGGCTGGCATACTACTATTATTCTTACATTAAAAAAATAGATTTTAGTAGATAAGTATTCAGCAACTACTGCAGGCAGGCCATATCTGGCCCTGTACATGTGTATGAAAATAAAGTACTGGAACACAGCTGTACCCACTCATTTGTGTACTGTCGATAAATGCTTTCATGCCACAACTGCCAAGTCTAGTAGTGGATACAGAAACTATGTGACTTACAGCACAAAATATACTTACTTTCTGATCCTTTACAGAGCCATGGAACTCCGAACTGGATGATCTATTCCAACTCCCATATTCTAGTGTTTCAAAATCCTTTTCTGCTTCCATTTTCACTAAGGGGAATTTGAACTGATGGCAGGAAACAAGCAAGTGAATGTTTACCATGACTGCAGAGAGTTTCCTAAGGAAACTTTCCACTCCAGAAACCCCACTCGTGGTCATGGGATATGGCTTTGCTCTGGTAGACCCCAGTCATTTAATAGATACAACATTGGTTTATTCACGGTTTCCTTTAATAAACACATTACAGCAGAAGAACATAACAAAAAAAAAAAAGGAAAAAAAGGAAAACTACAGGCTAATATCCCTGATGAACATAGATGTAAAAATCCTCAACAAAATATGAGTTAACCAAATTCAACAACATAGCAAAAAGATAATGTATCATGATCAAGTAGGTTTCATACCAGGGATGCAGGGATGGTTCAACATACACAGGCCAATAAATGTGATAAACCATGTAAACAGAATTAAAAACAAAAATCGTGTGATCATCTCATTAGCTGAAAGCATCCTCCCTGAGAACTAGAGCAAGACAAGCATGGCCACTCTTACCACTTCTCTTCAACATAGTCCTGGACGTCCTAGCCAGAGCAATCGGACAGGAGAAAGAAATAAAGGGTATCCAAAAAGATACAGAAAGTCAAATTGTCTCTGTTTGCTGATTTTATAATCATATACCTAGAAAACCCTAAAGCCTCCCCCAAAAAGCTCCTAGAACTGATTAATGAATTCAGCAATGTTTTGGGATACAAAATTAAAGTACACAAATTGGTAGCTCTGCTATCCACCAACAGCAACCAAGCTGAGAATCTAGTAAAGAACTCAACCTCTTTTACAATAGCTGCAAAAAATTAAAATACTTAGGAATATGCCTAACTGAGGATGTGAATGACCTCTGCAAAGAAAACGACAGAACACTGCTAAAAGATATCACAGACCATAAACAAACCGGAAACCCATCCCATACTCATGAATGGAGAGAATTACATTGAGAACATGACCATATGACAAATGCAATCTATAAATTCAATGCAATTCCCATCAAAATACCACCATCATTCTACACAGAGCAGGAAGAGCAATCCTAAAATTCATATAGAACCAAAAAAAGCCTGCATAGCCAAAGCAAGACTAAGCAAAAAGAACAAATCTGGAGCCATGACATTATTTTAAACTATACTATAAGGCCATAGTCACTGAATCAGCATGCTACTGACATAAAAACAGGCACACAGAAAAATGGAACAGAACAGAGAACCCAAAAATAAATTCAAACACAGCCAACTGATCTTGACAAAACAACAAAAACATAAAGTGTAGAAAGAACATCCTAGTCAACAATTGGTGCTGGAATAATTTGCAAAGTACATGCTGGACAATGAAATTGTATTTTCATCTCTCACCTCATACAAAAATCAACTCAAGATGGATCAAGAACTAAATCTAAAACCTAAAACTAGAAAAACTAGAAAATAACATTGAAAAATCCTTCTAGACTTTGGCTTATGCAAAAATTTCATGACCAAAAACCCAAAAGCAGAAACAATAAAACAAAGATAAATAGCTGGAACTTAATTAAATTAAAGAGCTTTTGCACATTAAAAGAAACAGCAGAGTAAACAGACGACCCACAGAGTGGGAGAAAATATTTACAATCTATACATCTGAAGAAGGACTAATATCCAGAATCTATAACAAATTCAAACAAATTAGCAAGAAACAAACAATCCCTTCACAGAGTGGGCTAAGGACATGAAGACAATTCTCAAGAGATGCAAATGGCCAACAAACAGGAAATAATGCCCAACATCACTACTGATCAAAAAAATGCAAATCAAAACCACTACGTGATACCACCTTACTCCTGCAACAGTGGCCATAATCAAAAAATAAAAATAAAAATAGATGTTGGCATGGATGAGATAAAAAGGGAACACTTCTACACTGCTGGTTGGAATGTTCACTAGTACAATCACTACAGAAAACAACGTGGAGATTCCTTAAAGAACTAAAAATAGAACTACCATTTGATCCAGCAATCCCACCACTGTGTATCTATCCAGAGGAAAATAAGTCATTATACGAAAAAGATATTTGTTTATAGCAGCACAATTTGCAATTTCAAAAATGTGGAACCAACCTAAATGCCCATTAATCAACAAGCACATATATATATATACATACATGTATGTATATATACACTTATATATATACATACACACATATACATACATATATGTATGTATATATATGCATGTATGTGTACATATGTATGTATATATATAAAATGGAATAGATACATAATGAAATATTGCAAAGCCATAAGAAGTAATGAATTAATGGCATTCACAGCAAACTGTATGAGATTGGAAACTTATTTTGAGTGAAATAACTCAGGAACAGAAAAACAAACATCAGTTGTTTTCACTCATAAGCAGGAGCTAAGCTATGAGGATGCAAAGACATAAGAATGACACATTGGACTTTGGGGACACGGGGGGAAAGGATGGGAAGGGGGTGAGTGATAGAAGACTACAAATTGGAAGATGCATGCACCAAAATCTCACAAATCACCACTAAATAACTTACCTGTGTAACCAAATATCTATCACCTCTTCCCCCAAAATTTGTAGAAAAAATTTTAAAAAGACATACATTATTGTCATTTCATCCAACTGAATATCATTTATACATAGAATTTTATATTTTAAGCAAGTTGCAGAATCATTGGTAACTTATTTATGTTTAGTTTATTTATAAAATTATAATTATATAAGTATATTTATTAAGTATATAAATCCAATATTGGAAATGTATAAATATATTTACTATCCGACACTTCACAGAAAGTCATCAACCCCTGCACTGAACGGTCCATTACAACTTCCATATTCTAGTTTTTCTATTCTAAAAATCCTTTTCTGGTGCCATTCTTACTCAAGGGAATTTGAGCTGATGGCAGGAAAAAAGTAGGAAATTTTTAGCATGACTGCAGAGATTTTCCTAAGGCAACTTCTTATTCCAGAAGCTTCAGCTGTGGTCATGAGAAAGGGCCTTTGCACTCTTTGTGCTAGCAGACCCCAGTTACTCATTGTAAATGCCCTTTCAAAAAGCTCCACATTAGCTCCTCCAGATTTTACAGCCTCAAACAATTAAATTATGGTGTCTCTGACAGTAAGCCAGCTTTTTAAAATCAGTCCCATAACTAATGTTGAGTGGAAAAAGAAGCTGAACTCAGTAAGCAGTGTTTCTCACTCTTCGTTATGAACCACGTGTCTTTTTATTTTTTAATATTATGTATGACAATTGTTTTCTATATTATAGATTATTCTGAAAGGCTCCAGACTTTCAGGAAAAACATTTAAACATATAGCTGGCAAAAGTTCTTTGAGATTAAAGTAGGACTGGTGGAGACAGAGGTCCCTAAGCTCTCATTAAATGAAAGCCTTTCAGAAAATTATCATTCTTCATCTTATGTCCTGGTCTAAGCAGCAGAGTCTCATTATGGGGAAGTTTATAAAATATTAAATTTACAACAGTATGTCAGTGACTACTATGGTGCTGGGCATATAGTAGACACTCATTAAATGTCTGTTGGATGAATGAGTGGTCTGTGATGGGTGCTTTCCCCTGAACTGCAGCTCTCTGGAAATGTTAAATATAAGAAAAAAATACTACCATGGGCATTTGGTGATGGGCATCCAGACAGCAGAATGTTAAGAGACCAGACATAAATGAAAAATGAATTACCACACATAAAGACCTGCACAGGAGCCATGGGGTCTGGGTCTGGAGGGCTGCAGGGGTGCACGACAAATAATGAATGACTAGCTTCACTGGAGTCTTATTTACTCTCAATTGGTGACATTATCTTCAGGTAAGCTATCTTGTCTTCTTTAACCCTATGAGCAGCCTGAGTAAATACTTGCTATTTGAATTTTCTCATTGCTTTTGGCTTTCATTTGTCTTCAATTCCCTAACAAGGATTTAAATAGAATCAAGACATCGTTATATAAAACTTCTTGTATGGCAGTCAAAGGGACTTTCCAAGTTAACAAATAACTATTTTCTTCCAAAAAATGTATAAGTAAAAGCTGATTCATGAAAATTTGCTATTTACTCTTCACTCTTGCGATTTGTTTCTTTTTATTTTGTTGTGCAATATTTAATATTTACTGAAAGATATCATGAATAATACAATGAAAATGTATTTGCACATTACCCATCTTGAGAAATAAAACATTTTCAATTCAGCTGAAGTCCCAAGAGGCCTTATCCCTGATTACAGAACTCTTTCTCCCAGCTAGAAGTAACAACTCCCTTGACTTTGGAGATTATAATTCCTATGTGACTCTTTATACTTTTCTTCATAATACTCGTCCCTTAAAATATACAGTATTGTTTAAAAACTTATGGTCTTCACGTAACTGGTATCATAATTTGGATATTCTTTTGCAAACTGTTTCATTAATATTGCATTTTTGAAGTTTAGCCTTACTGATACATATGTCTGTTGTATAGTATTTCAATGTATGGCTATAACATAATATTTTCATCCATTTCATTTTTATTAATATTTATATTCTTGGCATATTTTATTCCTTTTACAAACAACATTTTATACAAGTCTCCTTGTGGACATTGCAAGAGTTTCTCTAAAGTGGGAAATTAATGACAACAACATTTATACTACTACTAGTTATAAAATCTGCAAAATATCAAAAGCTAAAAATATAACTTCTAAGTATTTCACATATATTAAATCACTTTATTCTCCACATCAGTGCTATGAGAGATAAAATTATTGTCACCATTTTACAGATATAAAAAACATAAGTGGGCAATTGCTGGATGAGATGCAAATTTTCAATTTTACCAAATACAGCAAATAATTCTTCAGAGCTTTTAAACAGTTTCCACTCTCGTTAGTGGTATATAAATACTAATATGTAATCTTGTAGCACTTGATCATGTCAGGTTTTCATAACAGGATTTAAAGACCTTTATAAAGACAAATAACATATATTCATGTATTATTTGTGTAAATGCTCAGAAAACAGAGAGAGAGAGATCAAAATAAATTCTTTCTTAGGCATGGTGGAAAAGAAAGGAGATCACAAAGGTTGGGAGATGGGAAACAGTAAAACGCCCTTAAGAGAGTCAAAAACATTATTGATCATCTGGCACACGCCTGTCCAAGGAGTCAAGCCATACAAACACAAAGTCTCTGGTTTCTCAGTGCTTAAGGAGCTAGTGAACACTACGGGGGAAATCTGAATGAAAAACCCAAGGACAGAAAACCCCATCGCCTCCCTCAATGCTTTCCCAGCTTGAGCATTATAATTTCCGTGAGTGATGTGCTCTGAATACTTTCACCTTTTCCTTTTAGTTGTGGGTCATAAAAGAGGAGTTTTTTTACCTCCTTTAATTGAAAAATAGCACAGAGAAAAAACTCAGTTCTTTTTTAAAACCTAAAATGTTCACTTTTCTCCAGCATTTACTAATTTTCTTGCATGTCGCACAGCAGGAAAGAACGTTTATTATGCATGCTTGATTGCAGGAGAGATATACTCAAATTATGAACACAGGAGATTAAGGATCCTTACAACCATGGTCACGTCAAATGAAAATACAACTTTTCAGCTCACGGAGGCTGTTGGAAATGCCATTTCCACTAACCAATATTAACACTTGAAGCACAAAAGGAACTCAAAATCCCACCAAATGAAAATTCCCACAGTGTGGGAAGTGGGCTTTATACCACAGCGATGGCTGATTCTCTCCTCACAAAGAGACCCTCTGTGTTGAGCAGATTTCACAAATTCTAGCATTTTTGTAAGGGAGATATGCAAACATACTTGACTAAGTAAAACAGTTAAGACTGGTTTTGCAAAGAAATAAAACTTCAGGCCATAAAATTTTAAGATATGCTCACAGCAACAAAACTATATTTTAGTCACACACCCTATGTTTTTATGGGAAATTCCTTTCCCCACTGAAAACTTAAGAGGTACTATCACCTCCATAAAATACTAACCCCTAATCCTCAAAGGGAGAATTTAAGAACTCTGAACGTTCTGATCCTTTACTGAATGTTATAGAAGCTTTATGAGGCCATCAGCCACCCCTTCTGATTCACTGATTCTGGAGAAAACAGCAACAGCAAAAACAAAAGTTTCCTCGTTTTGTTTCTCAGTCCCACTGAGTTTGAAAAGGTCTCAGTTCTTCAAACATCAATCTGGATTACTTAGTGGACACAATTTAAAAGATAAATAAATACCTCTTCCTGGCATTTCAGTTATAAAAACACATCCAGGTTTGGTGTCAGTTATTGGTTAAATCCTCTCAGCTCAGGGATGGAATGTATTTTCTTCCTCTTTTCTAAAACAAAGAAAACTTATTTCATGGTGGATGCTTGCTTACGGAGGGATCAGTTTCCAAGTGATTTAGTGATTATAAGCCAGTACTTACTCTCCCATAAAGCTACTCAAAAGTTGAGCAAAGTTCGCCATGATATTCAAATGAAAGAGAAGGAAAGAAAGAGTAGTTCATGTAGGAAATGCATTGCCCTTTGTCTGTGTCTTAACGAAGCCAGTGTGTCTATTCTCCATTAGGACATCTGTGTCTGAGCTTAGACTGTAACACGTGACTCCAGAAGAGCCTGTTTAAAGACAACGCCACCTAACAAACTTCAGCTCATGATGTATTCAGAAGTCAATGTCTGAAGTCAGAATTTTTAGCACCAAAAAAAATGATTTTGAGAAGCGTACTATTATTCAAAAGTGTGTTTATCCTGTGATAAGTTTCTGGAAGCATCATTCGATACTTGTCTTCTTTTTACATGGAGTGGAAGGTTGGGGTCCAGAGACAGAAAAAATAGGGAAGGAATGTGAAGCGCTAAAAACAAGGGAGAGAAAGAACAGAGAGAGAATCAATGAAAGAGACAACAATTAAACAGGTCTTAAGATGTCTCATTCCTCCCTAATAAACTAGCATACATAGGAAATCTCATTTTCCCTTAAGGAGCATGAAGGGTAGGGCATGAAGGGCGAATGGCTTAGTCCATTTTCTGCTGCTGTAAAAGAGTACCAGACTGGGTAATTTATAATGAACAGAAGCTTCTTTGACTCGTGGTGCTGGAGGTTGGAAATTCCAACATCTAGGGGCCACATTGTAAGGGTTTTCTTGCTGTGTCACAACATGGCAGAAGGCAACACAGGGTAAGGGACAGAGAGAGAAAAGGGAGGCCAAACAGGTAACTAACCCACTCCTGCAATAACAGCATTAACCCATTTATAGGGGCAAAGCTTTCATGATCTAATCACCTCCTAATAGTCCCACCTGCTAATTCCATCACTAAGTCAGTTAAATTTCAATATGAGTTTTCGAGGGGACAGTGAAACCATAGCAGCAGGAAGGAAGATTCCTGAACCTAAGGAAGCCAACAGGTGAGGCAACAAATCCAACTTCAAGAGTCAAAAATTAAAGCTAATATTGCGGGCTGTTGTCCTAGTTTGGGATTCCCCAGAGGCAGACCCTGATGCAGCAATTTGAGGACAATTAGTGTATCTTGGAGGCAAAGGAAACACAAGTATGACAGTGAGGAAGTGAAACACAGAAGGGAAATCAACCATAATGATTATAAAATCCAGCCAGCACTGAGTGACTGAGACTCAGCCCTA